GGCCATGCTCTTAACCACTGAGCCATCTCTCCAGTCCCTTCTGTGGGTATTCTTAAAAAATGGTCTAGGGGGGCTGGAGAGATGGCTCAGAGGTTAAGAGCATTGCCTCCTCTTGCAAAGGTCCTGAGTTCAATTCCCAGCAACCACATGATGGCTCACACCCATCTATAATTAGATCTGGTGCCCAGAACACTATATACATAATAAATAAATTAAAAAAAAAAAGGTCTAGGGTAAGCCGAGTGGTGGTGGTACATGCCTTTAATCCCAGCAGGAGGCAGAGGCAGGCAGGCTCTCTGTGAGTTTGAGACCAGCCTGGTCTATAAGAGCTAGTTCCAGGACAGGTTCCAAAAGCTACAGAGAAACTTTGTCTTGAAAAACAAAACAAAACAAAATAAAATGCTCTAGCATCAGTAAAATGGCTTTCAGTGGGTAAAAGCTCTTGCTGAGCACACAGGCATGGACCCCTGAGTTCAGCCCCCAGATTCCATGAATCCTATGGTGAAAGGAGAGGAAACTGAGTCCTGAAAATTGTTTATGGACCTCTTCCTGTGTGCCTGAATTCACACACGTCCTGCATACATAATAAAACAAAGAAGAAAAAGATAATTAAAACAAGAGTAACCATAATCCATGTAGGAAGAGTTAGCACAGTGGTGCATGTCCCAGGGATAAATAGGCAGAGACAGGAAGTCCCTGGGGAGTCACTGGCCAGCCAGTCTAGCCCACTTGGTGATCTCCAGGACAGTGAGAGACCCTGTCTCCAAAAAGGTGAATGGATCCTGAGGAAATATACTGGAGGGTGTTCTCCATATGCAAGCACATTCATGGGCACACACACACTCACACTCAAGGTTCATCTACATGTGTGAAAGCTAGTTCAGGTTTTCAAATGATTCCAATTTGTGGTGGAATTGGGTGCAGCCAAAATGCCAGCTTGACAAGGTGGTTTGTCATCGTCCCATTGCCCCCCCCCCCCCAATCTTGTAGTCAGTCATATCAGCAGCTGGTTTTTCACATCTCTCGCTGAACTGCAGGCCACTCAGTACTGAATTGATGTTATTGAAACTGCACTTAGAATTCTGTCACCTGGCACTGTTGACTCTGGTGGTTTATTGCTTAAGAGTCATATAGAGTGCTTGGAAATTGGACTTGGGAGACCTGCTTTTGGGCCCCGCTGTATCATTGATTGGCTAGATTGCCTTGTCTACCTGCAGCCTTCACTGAGCCTCCCCAGCTGCTACTGAAATCCACGGGGACCTTTTACCCTCCCAGCCCTTTCCTTGGCTAACTTGGAGTTTGGGTTTGTAGCCTAGCAATTTTTATAAGTGGATGCCCTGCTTGATGGAGCTCTGTAGCTCTGTAATTGCTTCTGAGATCATCTCTTCTTGTATTAGCCAATCAGGTAAACCCTGTTAGTGAGCCTGGACTTCCCTTCTCCGGGTTACATTGTTGAGTGGAGTCCATTCCTCTGTCCTCTTCAGCTCTGCTTCTTTATAAATATGTTTGCATATGTCTATTTCAGTCCTCTAAAGCTCACGGTCTCAGGGGACCAAGAAGGAAGTTGTAGGATCTGTGCATTCAAACCTTTGTTTCTAGTGAGAAGCTTCAGGGTGGAGAGGAACAAAATTCCCTCTGGGTGACCAGCCAGGCCTGGTGTTTTCTGAGCCATCAGTGGCCTCATTAGCCAGTGTGTGAACGCCAAGAACTGCCTTTCTCTAAGAGTTTCCCCTTCTCTTTGCCTTGCAGCACGTTCTATGAAGACTGGTCTTTTGTGATGGATGAAGAAAGGTCCAGCATGCTCCCTACCATGGCAGCTGGTAAGCCAGGTTGAGGCAGGGGTGCTGAGCCCCAAGAAGTTTGGTGAACAGAGAGGCTCTGGGGTGCATTTATTGCCCAAGCATTCTGTGATGTTCTGTGTCCCCATGATTAGAAGTGTACTGTTGGCTTCTTAAGTTGGGGCCGTTTATCTAGAATTTGATCCCCTTGCAGATGAGGCATGAGATTGAAGGTCTGGCTTGTGACCTGCCAGGTGAGCCGTGAAGGGACTGGATGGGCAGACTGCCTTGACTCCTGGTTCTGCTGCATGTCAGTTGAGTCCTATCCCTCTGTTCCTCTTCTTTCCTCCTCTGTGAGGTGAGAATGCTCTTTGATTTTCTTTTTAGGGCTTCAAGAGAGCCATAGAACAGAAAAGGCCGTGTATGTGGCTTATCAGCATGGAGCAAGGCCCTGGATCGATGTGTTGTGGCTTGAGAAATCCTTTGCTGCTCGACTGTCCCTTCAAGGGTGATCAGTGTGATAGCTTGTCTTTCTTACAAACTCTTTGTTTTTACTTTTTCTTCTAAAACCTGACATTAAGTCTACATATCGAGGGTCATGTTAGTTTCATCTAGGGACGAGAAAGTCAGGCATTGGCCAAGGATGCTGGTGTCACTCTTGGATAAAGCAATTGTAATGGTATTCTTGGAACGCACTGAGCTCTTGAGGTTTCAGTAGGTGAAATCTTTAGTGCTCACAATCCCAAGAGGGTTACTGTTGTCACCATTGTGCAGGCAAAGAAACTAGAGCTCAGGGAGGTGGCAAGTTGCTTGACCAGGGTTTCTGTTCTGTGGCTCAGGCCAGGCAGTCTCTCTCCAGAACTTCTTCCACGGTCTCCTGGGTGGTTCTTGTTTCCATTTGTCTTTTGGCATCCAGGAATGGAATGTGGAAAGACTGTTCATATGAACTTCTATCTGCCAATGCCAGTTTCATATGTTTCTATAGATGCTGAAGATGAGATTTGTCCTTTTATGTCCCTTTAGACGGTCTCCTTGCTGATGTTGGAGGTGTGACTGCATGACAGCAAGCACTGTAACCTCCTCCCCCCCCCCCCCCTCTTTTTGGCAGGTCTGAACTCCATACTCTTTGCAATTAACATTGACAACAAGGATTTGAATGGGCAGAGCAAATTTGCTCCCACTGTCTCTGACCTCTTAAAGGAGTCAACACAGAATGTGACGTCTTTGCTGAAGGAGTCCACGCAGGGCATGAGCAGCCTTCTCAGGGAGATCACAGCATCGTCTGCTGTCTCTATTCTCATCAAGCCGGAGCAGGAGACTGACCCTCTGCCTGTCATCTCCAAGAACGTCAATGTTGGTGAGCCAGAAGGGGTCCGCGAGGTGGCGTAGGAGGGCCAGTGAGAAGGAAATGAGAGTAGGGCTGAGAGGAACCCACCTGACCTTGTTACTCTCCTCTGGGGAGCACAGTCTCCTGGTGTTTGCTTTTCTCTTCGTTCCCTGTGAGAGGGACCCAACAGGAAGGATAGGAAGCCAGGTGGGGCTTCTTCCAGCACTTACTTCTCCTCCTCCTCATGTGCTCAGCCGTGAGTTCTTGTTTCCATTTGTCTGCTAGCACCTGATTAATCTTGGGGATGGGCAGGGGTGATATTTAAAAACAAATGACATAAACAACTTACTGTTCTTGTATATGGGATGAGAGCATGGGCTGCTTCAGAGAGAATGCTTTTGGGCTTGCCTGTATGGGAGGATGCGATTTAAGTAGTGCCTGAGGTAAGAGGGCAGCTCTGAGCTTTGACTATGGGCAGGCAAGGGGAACTGGTTCAGTTAAGATAGGTTTGCCAGAAGCTGATGATACCCGTAGAGCATTTGGAGTTGTTAGTAGTTGCTATATAGCAGAAACCAAAACCTGGGGGTTAAATCCTGATTTCCCAAATCCCTTAAGGCAGCAATCATGGCCATCACTTTAAAATTAAAAAAAAAATTATTTTTCTAGTGAAAATTATACACACTAGGCAAGTGCTCTGCCAGCTATGTCCACAACTTTTCTTACTTTTTGTTTTCGAGACAAGGTCTTATTATATATGTTGTTAAGGGTGGCTGTGAACTGACTCTGCAGTCCATGTTGGTCTTGAACTTGGATCTTCCTGTCTTAGCCCCTGAACCACCGGGCCCCACTTTTAGAATTCTGTTTTGTCTGCCTGTCTATTTCTGTTTGTCTGTCTGTCTTTGTGTATGTGTGTTTGTTTGTGCATTTCGTTTGCACATGTATGTAAGTGCAAAGGTCAGAGGTCATTGTGAGGTATCTTCCTCAATGGCTGTACCCCTTGATTTTGTTTTGAGTCAGAATCTCTGAGCTGAACCCAGAGCTCACCAGCTGTCTAGACTGGCTGACCACTAAGCTCCAGGGATCAGCCTGTCTCTGCCCTCCCAGGGCTGGAGCTGTTGCTGGGTGTACACCGTGACCAGCTCTTCCCCAGGACTGGGGTCCAAACTCAAGTCCTTCTGCTTGTGCAGTGGGAACTTTACCTACTGAGCCAGCTCCCCAGCCCCCCTCAGAACTTTTCTTCTTAGCCTTTTTTTTTTTTTTTTTTTTTTTTTTTTTTTTGTCCTGGAACTTGTTTTTGTAGACCAGGCTGGCCTCGAATTCACAGAGATCCGCCTGCCTCTGTCTCCCGAGTGCTGGGATTAAAGGCCTGTGCCATCACCGTCCGGCTCTTCTTAGCCTTTCTTAAAAAGAGTGTTTCATTTATTCTGTGACAATTTCATACTT